TCTGACCACGCATCGTGTAGCTGCAAAAGATTTGAATTTGTTGGAATTATTTGCAAGCACATCCTAGCATTGTTCAGAAGGGACCAGATTGAATATATGCCCGATAAATACATTTTGAAGAGGTGGAAGAAAACTGCGAAATTTGGATTGGTGTCAGATGCAAATGGCAACGAAATTAAAGACTCTGCAGATCCTGGTCTTTTAATAAAGCGGAGTACAATGTCCCGACTTGCTTCAGATGTGGTTGAGGATGCATTAATGTGTGAAGAAGGATGTGAGCTACTGTCAGAGACTCTAAAAAGTTTGCAGGTGAAGTTGAAGTTGTTGAAGGATGGACCAAGTAATAACGAAGTTGGAGGGTCCAGCTCTCAAACACAATATATGAAAGACCCTAAGAGAGTAAGGTGCAATGGAGGGTCGAAACGAGTAACGGGAGCAAAGGAAAAGGCAATGAAGCGAGGGATTAGACACTGTCGGGAGTGTGGACACATTGGTCATGATAGAAGACAATGCCCAAGAAATTTGAACACACCGTAAGATGTTAACACTATTTATAATAAGACCTAAAATTTGAATAGGTAAAGTTCTTATGTGCTTCTGTTTGATGTTTATGCAGGACATCACCGTCGAACAATGACGAATCAACTCCAATAGATCTTAGTGACCCATTATTCGATGAATTTTACAGGATGCACGGACCAACTCAATAATTTAGGTTTCTATTATACGAAGCCCGGTTATTATGAAGACTAATGATCAGGTGACGTTTTCTAGATGCAGTTTTATTATTATTATTTTTTTGTTCATGTCCACCGATGAGCTCTTACTATGTCCATTGATAATTGAAATGAAAATTTGCTTGGTTTCATTCTTGCATGAAATTTGGACACATATTAATTTTACGTCTTCTTCCTATTTAGAAATTTTCATAGACATTAGATAAAGCATCAAATTTTGATTTATGTGAAGAAGCAATGACTTTTACCTTGTAAAATGGGTAGTTTATGGTGAATTATGTTT